TCAGCCCATAGTGGGTAAGGGAAGGTGTTTTTCAAGGTGCTTATAGGGGTGTGGAAGGGAGATGAAAGTACAAAGGAGTCTCTTCGTTTTCATTCTGAACCACCTGTGTTTTTCTGCGTGTGTGTTAAGCGAGCTTTCCTTTCTCCTACACAGTGTTTTCCATCATTAAAGAAAGTTCAGTTGCCTTCCCTCAGCAAGCTGCCCTTCAAATCCGTAGACCAGAAATTCATGGAGAAATCCAAGAACCAGCTTAATAACTTTCTGCAGGTAAGAAGACAAAGACAAAACCAACAGATATCTAAACAGGAGAATTGAGTGGATGTTGTCTCTCTATTGTCTAAAGAGAAAACCTAGAACAAATAGGTCAGGTGTAAGGTTTGATGCTGTAAATGTCAAAGTTGTCTAAAATGCCTGAAGTTGAAATGAGTTTGTCTGATAGTAACCATTCCTCTAGTGGAAAAGTAATTAAACTTTGATTAATTAAGAAAAGGTAAATAATGAGTCCTGTAATTATCATTTTTAACTACAACACTTTACAACAAATTTCTTACAAATGAGAACTTTTTTATTTAAAAAGAGTTGTAAGATTAAAAACTTTAATCTTACTAATTCCAATACTTTAGAACTAGCTTCTTAAAGTATCTTTAGACATGGCTTTTTTTCCTCACTCTAACTCTGAGCCATCTTCATCAGTTTTATTGGATGGCCTGACACATCTTGTTCCTTAACAAGAAATATTTAATTGATGTGTTGTTTCTGTCATTATTTTTCTTCTGCAGAAATTGCTCTCTGATGAAAGACTCTGCCAGAGTGAAGCACTTTATGCCTTCTTGAGCCCTTCCCCAGAGCACCTCAAAGTTATTGATGTGCAAGGAAAGAAGTCCTCTTTTTCACTCTCCTCATTTCTAGAACGACTTCCTGGTGATTTGTTTTCTCATCAGGAGGTAGGTGATAGAAAAGTAAGCTTTCCAAATTTAGTTACTTATCCTAAGTAAGCAGGGAGAGCCATTAATATAATGCATTTGAATGGCAGGTAATAATGGAAGGCGTTTCCAAAGATCATTTTTAATTTACTGTAAGTGAACAAAGAGTCAGAAATAAGAGCTGTCTATTAATCTAAAAGATGTTTATTAATAAAATAAGTTTCCTTTGATAAGTATATATAGCCAAATGTGTAACCTATCACAAATAAACAAATTACAGTTCATGTGGGTTTTTTTTTTTTAATAGCAGAATTTCCCATTTTTTGTGCTCTTGACATGCATATTTCTGAGGGTTTTTGATGGATAAAAATAATTCTCTCTTAGGAAGCTTCTCTTGGTAGGGAACAGCTCCATGTCCTTAACAATTTCTGGACAGCTTCTGAAGCGAAGCTAGTTTTGACAAAGAGCGTCAGCAAATGATACAGGCTCACCGAGGGAATAAGCAAATAGAAGCGGGAGCCCATGTGGGCAAACCAGTTGGAGAATTTGATAGTAAGCCATAAAAACCCATTGTCTTTCAAAATGCAGTGAAAAATAGATTAGTGACTAAAATAGCTCATTGACTAAAATTGACCATAATTCTGTGGCTGTCTATTCTGTGTGATTCATGTCGCAAATATGCAACCTCCAAGGAGCTGTTTCGATTCCCCTTTTTAGTTTTATGTTATATGAAATAATTATTTTCTTACATGCTGTAGTAGTCTGCAGTGGATGGGCCTTCTGCAGGATAAATGGAGTTTGGGGAACTTGGACAGTTCTTGTCTGTTAATAGGCAAAAAGGTGGTCTTGCATCTCTCAAGAATAAGAAAATCCTATATACTTTTTCATTTGCACCTAGATGTTGCATCCATATGTCTCATTTCAGAGTAATAAACATTAAAAAAGTTTGGGAAACTAATTTCACACTTTGATAGAAGTACTGTAGTTCTGAAAACAAAAGTGCCTTCACTAAAATGACTGTTAGGTAGAAGTAGCATAAAAGCATAGAAGCATGAAACTGTATTTCACTATTTAATTGAAAAACACCCTCAAGAAAAAAGGCAGACTGCATGTATATTGTATTACATGAGTGCGTAGGAGGAGATAGGAAATACAGGAGAAGGAAAGGGAGTTTGTAATGAGAGTGCGTGACAGAGGAGAGAAAACAAAGAAATTAATCATAAATGAAGCACCTGGTACTGAAAAACTGAAGGAAGTAGAGCAAAAAATGCCCAGAGAATGTGGCAACAGAGGAGTTGGAACATAACTTCTTCATCAGTTTAATACTATTTCGTGCTTGTTACTTCTGGGACTAGGAGCTTAATTTTGGCTGGACTGTATTATGCCATGTGCATGTGCACATGCAAAGACCATCCTGCTTCACATACACCTTCCCTCTCCTCTCCCCTCCTTCCCTAAGCTTAAACATGATGAGACAATAGAATACAGATGGAGGGAGTATAGGAAACTGTTCGACCGCCTGAATCAGTATGGCAAACGTTTGTCCTAGTTTAAAAATAAAGTTAAATGGAGGGAGGGGAATTGTGAGGCGGTCTGGGATCAGCTCTGATTTTTCTTGGACACTCAGTCTTCCAGTGTGAGCTTTAGATCAGCTCAGTCTTGCCCAGTGATACCATTCTGTATAATTTACTACAGCAGTTAAACTAGGGTTAAATAATATTGTACAAGGTCATTAATTAAGTCAGTTTTGTTAAACCATACATTACAAAGCTGTTAGAGTTATGTTCTCTTTGCAACTAGGAATTCCTGGTTTAGTTCATATTTTGGACTTTGTAGAAAAGAATGCTCTTGTACAGCTCTCTTTGCCTTTTATGTCTTGTCTCACATTTTTCAAATATGTGTTAGAGCAACAGTATTACCTCTTGAGTGCTGTTTTCAGGATTAGATATTGCAGCAATTTCAGGTGTCTTACATACACAGCTCCTTGGACAGGACGAGCTTTAGAATGTGTTTCTGAGCTGTCAAGACCAAAATCAAATCAGAGGAAAAAATGCAGCTGATACCATCTAGAGGAAGGGCTTTTAGGTTTATGAAGTTTTAATGGATAGAAACTGCATCCTGATGTAAGAATTTACACTTCTCATTGTGTATTTTGAATACACGGTTTAACCTAAGTCTCCATTCTTCAGACAGCTAGTTCTTGTCCTGTCTGCTGCAAACACAGAACAGTTTGGGTTAGGATCATCTTGATTATCAGGAGTTACTACTTTCCTTTTGTCTTTTATTATTTTATTTCTTAGACTGAGCAGCCCCAATTTCTCCTAGTTTTTGTTAGGTTATATTTTATTTAGTTGTTATGGTTTTGCTCTGGCCCTACTTAATTATCCATATTTTTCTTGGAAATGTGGTGACTAAAATTTGAAACACAATGTTCCCACTAGGTTTTCCTATTGCCATGTATGAAAATAATTTTTATATTTATTTGTGTATATATGTCATACAAACAGTATTTGTGCCTAAACACCATGGTATTACACGTGCCTTTTCCACAGCAGTATGGCCCTATGATCTTTTTCTGTAGTGCTATCAATATCAATTGCTTTATTTCTTGCATTTACACAGTGATTTATTGCTGCTTTCCATGTCTTTATCAAACTGCACCCTGTGAATTCAAGTACAAATTCAGTAAGCTCATCTGCAAATTCAGTAAGCTTATTTTCTGTTCTTTTGCCCAATGCTTAATGAAAATATGGAATGATGTCTACTATGAAAAATTAAATAAAACATAATTTCTTGAATAATTAAAATAACAAAGGGCCAAGAAGCCTGTTGACCAGAGGAAGATAGTGAGCAGGACTGGAGTTTGCTCTAGACTGTGTCCCTGGAGAAAATTCTGTTCATCGTCAGTGAATTTGTGTGCTTGTGTGGTAAGATGGGTAATGGTTTGTGGTTTCCTGGTGTGGCATTTCTTGTCAGTATGTTGTGGCTTTTTGTTCCCTGCTCTCAGTCACAGCCTAGCCTAACATTAGCAGAAAGCTTTAAAAGCTGGGGACTCATCAAGCTGGGGAAGTCAGTAAACGGGGGAATCTACATGGACGTTTACTGTGCACTTCACAGCTGTGGGGCTTTTTCTTTTGTTTTTCTGGTTATGAGGAGAGAAACAGCATTTGAGCAGTGCTAGAGAAAATGCCAAATGTGACACAGGAAGTGAAAGGTACAGGATACATAAGTGTTGGAACATGCAACACTGTGGAGTTATTTATTTCTAGACTACTATGCAGTGCCATGCCTGGAGAAGATTAAGGGACTGGAAATGTACCCAAAATCAATGAAGGGCTTTAGATGGGATTTGGAGAGTGTGAGGGAGGAGTAAGACAAACTGCTGTATAGCTGAGAAACTGTAGGATAATACCCTCTGTGTAGCAGGGTTCAAATGACAGGCAAGGGATGACTGAAAGATTGTGACCATAAGAATAAGGCCAAGAAAAACAGCAAAACATTGCAAGAGAAATAGAGCCATGAAGCAGGTTTTCCAGACTAGATGATGAGAGGAGGGGAAAAAAAAGGCAATATTAGGTGATGGAATAGTAAAGAAGAAAGGAAGGCAAAGAAAGAAATGATGGATTTCTTTGAAAACCAGGGCTGAAGAAAGAAAATTTATCTGTACACCATTCTGACCATTCCTGAGCCAGACACTGGGGCATTGCACCAGCCTCAGTGGGAGGCAGGTGTGTCTCGCTGCAGCTTTGCTCCAAGCATAGGTGGGCAGGGAAGGGTCCAGGAAAGCAAACCGATGTGCTGGGTGCCACAAGTAATGGTAGGTGGTGTAGTCCTGATGCTGAAGCAGATCTTCATGACACTGTGAAACAACAAGCTGTCTGCTCTTCATTCTTGAATAAATGGTACCACCAAAACTGAGGTGGTCCAATCTGTTCTTTCCCTGTGAGTCTATTCTGAACAACTGAGCTCCCTTCTGTACTGAGCTTGGATATCGTCAGGCTCAGGTCACTAAGTGTCACTATATTATGTTTCTGCCTGGGACTGGTACTCGTTACTGGTGCTTGTCTTTGCAGTGGCCAGTTTATCTTCTGCTGCTGGGTTTGGTTCCTGGCCTGCTGCAAAGACAACATGCTAGTGCCAGATCCCACAGAGGGGCTTCAGCTGTGCAAGGCACTGTCTGCTCTCCAGGGGAGCCAGCTACCTGCTTCTACCTGTGCAATGACCAGATTTTCCCCCTTTCTTTTCAGCTGTTTGTGTTGCAAATAGCTCCAGCTGGCTGGCTTCCCAACCTGGATGTCCTTCATGGGTGTTGTGTCAGAGGAGTCTTTGCAATCACAAACACCTCTGAATGCCGTCTCCTCCTTGCAGCTCTCACCTGCTTCCTAGCAGTACGTGGCTCCCACATCACCTGCTTTCCCTCATCCAGCTAGTGTTGGCCAGGCAGTGTAGGCAATGGACCCTGCAAATGTGGGCAAATCCACCCAGCACTGAGTTGCTTACTGGGGCAAGGCTGCAGGGGGAAGATGTGGTGATGGCTCCAGCAGTGCAGAGTGTCCTCATCACTCTTGTCCAGTGGGAAGTGCCGTCCCTTTTTAGACTCCCTGGTGTGAGGTTCCTCTTTGCCAGATCCTGCCAGCAGCAGAGTTGTTGGCTCTAATGCGCTTTCTTGAGGGGGCTGGCTGTGCTCCCTCCCCAGAGCATGGCAGTAGCTAAATCCATTCTGGAAGAAGGATGGGGGAGCTGCAGTGCATACCCATGTTGTGTCTCTCTTCCTAGGAAGAAACAGAAGAGGATAGTGACTTGTCGGACTATGGAGAGGAAGTGGATGGGAAAAGGGACTCTCTTGCTGAACCATGTTTCATGCTGATTGGAGAGATTTTTGAGCTGCGAGGAAGTAAGCTGTAAACCTGCTTATTTGCTAGTGGAATCTGTTGGCCAAGAAATCTGGGGCACTTTGTAGTTACGATTTTTTTGCTGTTTCAATAGGTGGAAATGTTCTTGCAATTTGTGTAGCCAGTTTGTTTGGAACAGAGCTGTTCTTCAGTAGTTCATAACTTCGCAGCTTTCATTCAAAAGTGAAATTCCAATATAACATAGCAGTAACTGGTAGGGGAGAGCATTTGCATTCAATATTCTTACATTTTTCATTAAAAAAAAACCTGGAATAACCAAAAAAGTACAAAAGCATGTTTTCTGTAAATAGGCTGCATGGTAGAATGTATGAATTATGAGGAAGGAAAGATGGCTTTATTACAGAACATGTCACTGACAAAGCAACGTAATTTTAATGTCCATTTAAGTGTATTATGTATGAATTTTAGTTCTACAATTTGTATAATGGGAGAAGATGCTAAAATGGTGGCATCTTCCAGTACCAGATTTTTTTCTCCTTTACATAACTGAATGATGGTAATAAAACTATTTTTGTTTCTTTCTGAATGTGCAGACACATTTGATGCCCTATAAAATTATTTACAGGATAAATGTTACAAAATGCAGCCCCTTCCAAAAATGGCAGATTTATCTTCCAAATATAGACTTTCTTGTGCTGATGGTAAACAGCATGAAAGAAAGATTAACCAATAATTACTAGGAAGCACTCACATTTGTTTCCTTCATTTGTAATGAAGAGCTGACTGTTTTGTTTATTTGAGTGAAAATGTTTTCAGAATTTTAATGATGCTGCTGTGTGTACATTATACTAGTAGGTATGAAAAGGTCGTGAATTTTGAGTGGTTTTCTTCTTTTCTAGTAGAAAGAGGGTTTGGGGTAGTTGTATGGTTCCATAAACTTGAAATATTCTTAAACATAAAAGTTCACAGTATAAACTACAAATGCATATTACAGCTATGTTTATGTAACCTTCAAGGCTTAAAAACCATATAGCAAACAGCACAGGGAAAGCAGTCAAGAAAAATGAGATCCATGTACAATGAATGAAATCTTAGAAAGGATTATAACATATATTTACTGCAGGGATGGCTTGGTTTTTTTTTGTGGAGGGAAGGGGGCAGGGGGAAGGTTTTTGTACATCATCATGGGTTCCCTAATGTTATTAACTTCTTGATCTTTATTTTCTGTTATTTTTCATTGTTCTAGTGTTCAAGTGGGTCAGAAAAACATTAATTGCACTAGTACAAGTCACTTTTGGAAGAACTATCAACAAGTAAGTAGTTGTTCCTTTAACAGAACTTGCATCATTGTTCTCTGAAAATAAGGCTGAGATCAGAATTGTTTAAAAACAATAAATCTGGACATTCTGTTTGTGTATGGTAATCTGTATTTGTTTTCCACAACTCAATTACAAATATGTTGATTAGAGAAGACACAGATAAATGAATTATCTTTTTCCTTATTTTTTCCCCTATACAGCTTTGCTTTTGGAAGAACACAGTATTTCATGGGAGATGTAACTATAAAAAGAGACTCTTTTCCCTTTAGTGAAGCAGCCTTGCATATAAATGTATATAGATAGATATATAAAAAATGACTTGCCATCCTGTTTTTCTGAATGGCCTGGCACTGAATAGCTTTCATTACTTTGTGCTTTATCTTATGGTCCCTTGAAGATTTTTACCAGATCTGAAACTAAGTAATTTCTTTCAAGTCAAATACATACTTCTCTAAAGTGTCTGAAATAATATTTATACATGATGAAAACCATTAATTTGTAACATGAAACCTCTGCACATGTAACCATGATGTGTTTTCATAAAGGTATGCTTCTCTAAAGTGTCTGAAATAATGTTTATACATGATGAAAACCATTAATTCGTAACATGAAACCTCTGCACGTGTAACCATGATGTGTTTTCATAAAGGTATTTTTCTGTATCATTTGTTGTATGAAGTAAGCATGTGTGTCTCTACACACCTTTCATGTGAAAAGCTGTATCATTGGTCAGAAAAATTTTGGAAAAGTATTCTACTGGTCCAGTCAGTGACTAAATTTGCACATGCTAGCATAGTTTTTACAACCTCTTGTGTGTTATGTAGCGGTAAATTGGACAAGAAGTGATGGAAAGTCACACAGTTGACTCCTGGTGAACTGATGGTCTCTGGCAGTATCCACTGACTGAGTTTTAAATCCATCAGTTCATTTGTTCACACACTGCTGGTAAGTAGCATGAAAGACACCCGAGAGAGTGTGTGTGAGCACAGCATGCATGCAAAGTTGCTGTGTAGCTTTTTATGTGTTGGTCAATTTTTACATTTATTCATTCTTAAGGGTTTCGGCTGTACTGGGGTGCAGTTAGGCAGTGCTGCTTGGAGCCTGCTGTCTACCTCAGGCTCTGTGTGCTGAAGGCTACAGTGAGTGCCTGCAGCCACAGGAGGAGGCTGTCTCCATTTGTAATCCCTTCACTACTGCGCTGTTGGTATCTGTGAGGAATTTAACTGCGCTTTTATTAAAACTTCATCTACTTTTATCCCACCGGGCACATCTGTTCATGCAGCTAGTTTGGACTTTGCTACAATTATTTAGGTGATTTTTATGTCTTCTCTCAGTGGAGCCTTTTTACTGCCCATCTATGAAATATATACGCATTTCAGTGTAGTACTTGTAAATGGTAATATACATTCGTGGATTACATTGAAATGTAGACTTCTCCACATCTCAGTCAGGTACCTGGAGTGACCTAGATCCTAGAGCACCCAGAGCTAAATACAACTTGCTGTGATGCTAGTGAAATCAGCTCAGATAAATTGTTATAATTACATAAAAATGAGCATCGCTTCCACTACTTTTAGGAGTAAAAGAATAAATCTGCATAAAACGTGAAAGACCAGCCCTGATGTCCTCCCTTCCTACAGGCAAATCCGTGACACTGTACACTGGATGTTTAGTGAACCAATGCTTGTTTACTACATTGGCGTGTTTCGAGATGCGTTTTGGCCGAATGGAAAGTTAGCACCGCCACCGAGAGTCAAGAGTGAAGAACAAAAGCAAGAGACAAAACAGAGAGCACAGCAAAAACTACTTGAAAACATTCCAGGTGAGATGACTTTAATTCTGCTTAATCATTGATTTAATAACTAGTAAGGAAATGGGTTAATCAAATACTGTTCTGCTGGATTTTAGATTTTCCCTATTGTCCTGGGTCCAGCTGGGATAGGGTTAATTCTTCACAGAAGCTGGGAGGTGGGCATAGCCAAAGGGATATTCAATACCATGCTGATGTCATGCCCAGGATATAAGGGGAAGCTAGCCGGGAGAGGGGTCTCTTTTGTGAAGCTCGTGGTGGTGAGGATTTAATTGTATCAGTGTTTCCATTGTATTCTATATCTTGTCTTATTGTCATATTCTCCTTTTTTTTGTTTTCCTTGTGTGGTATTATTAAAAATCTGTCGTTATCTCAACTCACGAGGTTCCACTTTTTTTCTTATCCTTCCCCATCTTACTGGGAGGGGAGTGGGGGGGTTGCGACCACGTGGTGGTGGTCCTGACCCAGGACACCTATAGAGTTGTAAATTATGATTATTTGCATAAATAAGGATAATTTTTGGCCTTACTCTTTGCCTCTTCTGTCTGTCTGGTAAAGGGTATGGATTTGGGTATTATTGGTGGATGCAAAATCCAGTATCTCTCTACTTCTGTATGTAATATTCATCAAGGAAACCATATAAAATCAAGACTCTCTGATGGTTCTCTGTGAGCAAATACCAGGTGGTTCTGCTACCTGGAACTACTTGACAAAGAGGGAGAGTGGCACCGCCACAATTACCTCTTCCTCTTATATTTCAAAATTGAAGGTCTGTCCACGCTGTTGGTGTTGGGTGTTGCTGTCTATTTCTGAGAAGATGATTTGGGGCACTGCATGTTAGAGGGACCTGCAGCCTGGACAGAAGCGTCCTAGATTGAGTGTCGTTTCCAGTACTTCCCTTTGCCTGTCCTTACCTCCCAAGCCCAGGCAGCTTCCTCTTCAGCATGCATGTTTCTGGGGCTCCATTCTGATATCTTCCATCCCATTCACAGGACAGGGAGTCCAGTTGCATAATTTTGGCTCTTCAGAGATCGCGTAAACCCAAAGGCACCTAACTGGGAAGAATTGAAATTAATTCCATTTAACCCTTGGAAATGCACTTAAACATATCTTGAATGCTTTTTGTCTCCCCTAGAATGTACTTTAATGAGCTATTTTATGGCTTTGCTGTGGTATCTCATATACCCCCTTGCATTAGGGTTGTTTGTTTCATCAACTTCTACTGCAAAAATAGCAGCAGGTATGCATGCAAAATATTTATCATTTGACATGTAAACAACCCTCTCTATGTTATATACTCACCTGCTTGCCTTGAATAGCCTTCCATAGTTGGTTTGTGGTTTTGTTTGAGTTTGGAGAGATGTGTCAGGACATAGCTGAATACACCTTACATTAATGATGAAGCATTGGGTGACTATATATTCTGTAACTTAATCCAAAATGTAAATAATTGAATTAGAATTCTCTTACCTGCCTACTTGTGGGAAATATTTTCTGTGAAGACTGAGAGGTGGTTAAAATGCTAATTTTTTTCTAACTGCTGCAGGAATTGTGTGTTTGTGGCTGAAGGTATATTTAAGTGAATGGTTTAATAATGTATGAGATTAGACTTTACTCCTTGAGATGAACTACCTAAAAGGCATCCCATGTATCATGTTAAAACACTTAAAATGGTGTTATTGAGATGCATACACTATTATTTAACTTGGGTAACTTGAAAATTAGTATCTTCATCCTGTGACCTAGGTTGCCTGTGTGTTTTAAAAGATTGGCAAATGGGGGCTTTGCATCTGTAACCAAATGCCGTGAAGTGCAGTGGTTTTGTTTCTCTTCCATTATGGGCAGTAATGTTGACTGGAGGTTTTGCCTAGCATGAGTGAAACAATATAAGCTGAAGTAACATTTGTTGCAGATACTCTGCAGAGTCTTGTTGGACAACAAAATGCCCGGCATGGTGTAGTGAAAGTGTTCAATGCCTTGCAAGAAAGAAAGGCTAACAAGCATCTACTCTATGTGAGTAACCACAAAAGCAGCCTTTTGACTTTATAGTCCTGTTAATTGCTGAGCTCTGCTCATTCAGTGTTAGAGCCTGGGGTGTGTGTTTTTGCAGAGATTTATGTTGGACTATTTTTCAGTGTGTGAGTAACTTTTTTTGTTATTAAAGTAAGTCAGAAAAAATGTACTTGGTTTGTCATTTGACCAATTTGAATAACAAAAAGCTGCTTAAGTTTAAAAATGGTATTGCTTTTGTCTAAAAGAGATCCTCTACCATATCCAATTTGCCTGACATCCTAAGGTGCAAACTAACTTCTTAGCGTAGCTGAGAAAAATAAACATACACTGGAGAATCCCAGGGGAGGAGAGCTCTCTAGGAGGAAGCCAGTCCTAACTGGCTCACAGTTAGGACATGACAGTCCTCCAAAAGTCCCACTCCTCTCCAGTTGTTTGGGACTGGTCAGAGGATGCAGCTGTATGCAAGTACAATACCCTCGCTCTCAGTCAGTCTCTACTGGCTCCTTTTCTTCAGCAGCCAGTCACATAATGCAGCTTCAGCACAGGAGTGGACGCAGCCTGCTCAGGAGGTGCATGCCCTGGTGCTTGCTTATGTAGCTCCTGCAGCTTCAACAGAACAGCACCAGTTTATACAAGGTGGGAAATCCCCATCTGAAAGCAGCTGCCCATGGCGCTTGCCTTCTTTCAGCCTTAAGGCGTTTCCCATATTACCTGTAGGGTGCATGGTAACTTAGGATGAAAGAAGAGTTGCATGAATTATGGGTAGATTGACCCTACATGCTTCTGTTATTTGTGATGCTTTGAACATGTCAGAAAGGAAAAAGAAATTCTCATTTGGCACTTATGCTCATCTTAACTCTTTTCTGTTTTTCAGGTTTTGCTGGAACTGCTGCTAACTGAACTGTGTCCTGAGCTAAGAGCTCATTTAGAGCAGCTTAATGCCACTTAGGTTTGAATCTGCACAATTGGACCACTAGAGAAATGTCTATGTCCAATAATAGACATGAAACTTATTTCCTCTTTTCCATAGAGGGCTGAGGACTATGATTATTTTTAGCATTTTTCTTTCCTCTTGAGTTTTTTGTGAAGTAAACAGACTTGAAAAGATCTGATGCTGTAGTAGGGTAGGCAAAACAATGCTGTATAGTTGCCAATTTTTATTTAAATTGTTCTATTTGACTACTCTTTGGTTTCAAATATAGGTTGAAAAATAAATATTCATATACGCTGAAAGAAGCCAGAAAATATTTTAAACGTTTATGAAAAGAAATTTTGCTTATAGTGGTAAACTAATGAATGTTGTACAGTTCTAATCTCCTGATTGAGGATTTGAGCATTCCTTTTTTCTTGTGTATTGAAAGAGCCTTGTGCAATACTACATGTAAAGGTGTTGTGAAAATTTTATCAATTTTGTTTTTACCAAAGATTTCCTGTAGTTTGAAGCATTTGTAAGCAATAAATAACACAACTGGATTGCAGCACTTGATAATGAGGCTGTACTGACAACTTATGAATGAGTTTGACAACACTAGTTTCGTAAGGAATATTTACGTTACTTTGAGGTCTGTGTCAAAGACATGTATTGTAAACTGGTATGTCCTAACAGAATGCCTGTGTTAAATGTTAGTTCAGAGATTAGTGCTTATGAATTGCTTCTATGAATGATTACGTAGACTAATTAATTAAACCATTCTCATAACTTCCCTGATATTATTCAGGGCTGTTTTATTCAAATACCCCAGTTTCAAACAACCTTCAAATCTTTCCCTTATTTTATACAAGGAAAGAAAACTATGTCTTCAGTGTTTTTTAAAATTTATGTAAAAATATGTAAATATGGTCTTAATGCACATCAAAATAATTAAACATAATCAAAAATCCCTAGGTGACACTCATTACTTTCTTCTAAATTCAGTACAGTTTTGCTCTTAGAAAAACTGCTTGCAGTTAAGACTGGATACAGTGTAAGGTACACAAAATCCCTGTGCTATATTTAAATCAATGTTTTTAGTAACATCTAGCCTTCTCTTCCAACAGAATTTCAAAAAAGTTTTCGAGTAGTGGCACAGTCCTAAGAAGCAAGCCAAATTCTCCTGCACATAAGAAGTTTTACAAGCAAATAGGTATTTAGAAATGTGCAAGCTTACCATAGCGATCAGTAAAATTCTAGTGGTTAACCAAAGAATCTTTTGATAAAAGATTCAGCATAACATTGCTCAGGCATACACACTCCTAGTCAAAAGGTTTTCAACTGTTTCGGTTACAAACAGAGGTTGTGCAAATGCGATATGAAGAAGGACTGAGGGGAACAGGCCTCATCATGTAGTGGATGTGTAAACGCATGTTTCTGTGCCAATGGGTTTTTTCAGTAGTTCTGTAAGTAGAATTTTCTCATTTTAGAAGTTGACATTGTTTGAACTGTAAAGCTTAGTGTCATATGGACCAGTTTCCAACTTTGAATCTCTGCAGTCTAAGAGTAAAATGTGTTAAGACACTTAAGCAGATCCAGATGCATTAGAGAAGCCTGTGAAAGCAGGTATACGCACCACTAGCAAAGGTAAGTTTTAAAAACGGTCATAACCTGTGAGGGGGTTGTATGTGAAAACTAGACAAGTTTGGGTTTGAGCTTTTCAGAACATTAAAATTTAATGTTTAAATACTAAAAATGCAGAAAAGGAAACAATTGTTTTTCTTTGATTTTAGTTTAAGTCATGTGCTATATAGGAGCGTTACATTAAGAAAACACAGGACATCTGTCCCAGTAAAATGTCCTTAAAATATCTTAAGTCTTCAGTACCATTTTTAAAATGTCAGCCTTTGCCTCATCTCATTTAAGGTGTGTGAGCTTCTTGCTTTCTCTTTTTTGAGATAAAAAAGAGTTAGCAAATTGCTTTAAGTAATAATTTACAGAAAGTTGAAAAGTAGGCAGTAAGTGATGAGCAGTCTATAATTGCTGGAGATTAAAGATGTTTTATTGTAGGAAATACACTTATATACCAGTCTCAGATAAAAGAAACACTAAATTCTCCCAAGGTTGGCTGCCAGTTCAAGGTCAGAAGCAACACCTGGATCCAGAAGGCATGCCTTTAAAAACAAAGAACAGGGAGTTCTGGTTTATAGCTAAAATAAAATTGCATGTTGTCAATGTAACATTAATAAGGTCTTTAAGTTTTGTTGACATTATCTGAGATAATTAACTTGTTAAATATTAAAGAGTTAAAATATTTTCAGCTTTAAATCCCTCTTTCTGATGCCACGTAAGAAAAATTCAGTATTTAAAATAAGCATACTTGACTATAGTGTTAGGCTTGGGTTTATTTTTTTATTCTGTTTGTTGGTATGACATGCCCTAGCACCGCAGTCAGACGCACAAATCTGCTTACAGATTGGATTGGTTTCATTAACTTACATCATCTATTTCATTACCCTCTAGGATGCCCATCTTCTCTTCCTTGCTTCTTTCAAAACTGACTAGGTTAAGAATGGTAGGCCAAAAATGCAACGGAGCAGTTAATTAAAAAAGCAAACATTATTTTAATTTTAAGTGGGTATAACTGTACACTCAAAACAAGATTTATTTTCCAGGGACAAAAGAAACTGAAGGCACCCACAGCTCTTGTCTTTTACTTGTTCTAAGGTACTGCTTCAAGCAGCTTCCTCGTTTATTTTCTGTCTCATCTCTTTTGTTGTTGATGTAGAGGTGCATGGCACCAGTCAGTAGAAATAATCTCTTTTTATACTAAGAAGCCAGTGGCATTCCTAGATCAGTCTCAGATGTACAGCTAGTGAGTGATGAGTGAAAGCTGTAATATCCTTTCAGTTGTAGTGGTTACGCTAGCTAGGAAGGGCTGTACTCTCACAAAGCCATACGGCAGTGCAATCCTGATGGGCCTTTTCCGTTTCGTAAGACTCAACTAGGATTACTGGCTACAGTGTTCCTAACACCCCAGCTTATATTCTTTTCCTGATCTCCCCCTCACCCTATCCTCTATAACACTTTTCACAGCAGGAGAAAAAAAATGTTTAAAATGTATGTACTCAGCGGATCACGTGCTCTGCTAGGCCTCTTGTATCAGTGACTTCCCTCAGTAATGAGCCACAAAAATTGTTATTTGATAATTTATCGTTTACATAACTCTCCATTTATTTGGATTGCACCAAGCTGGATGTGCAAGTATTCTACTTGCAGAAACAAATGGTGTCTGTGTGCACAGAAATCAGTCTCTCAAAAGCACAGATCCAATCTTGCTGTGCTCCCTTCAGTTGGCATAATAGTCTTGCCTTGACTGTACCTTTAGGCATCACTGATATTATTTAGCAGATTCATCTTCTAGAAGCCATTGTTGCTCTTTTTCTCAAGCAATAGATTTTACTTCAACTTCAGAACTTTTAAAAAATGTCACCTATTCTTTCCCCTGTATATTAGTAACAGTAGATCCTCAGCTGTCACTAAAAATGTAAACATAAAAATAAGCATGACAACCAGTTCTTACAGATTTAAGTATCATTAATTAAGGTTGTCATTGTTAGAGACTGTAAAGTAGAAGAAAAGTTACAATTTTTCAGTTTGAGAGAATAACAGACAACAAATGAATTGGGGATAAAATTATTCCAAATGTGTAGCTAATTTATCTTGCAAAGTTACCAGGCTCTTTGCCGTGGTGATTATCACTGATTATTTTTTGTTTGGTTGTTTCACAGAATGCGTTGTTTGATTAAGCAAGTGGGTAAATAGTATCCTTTCAAGACTATTTTTAGTATTTTTCAAAATACTTTTATCACTCTTACCTTTTCTTACATAGATATTTTTTTCTACATAAATAATGTGGAGTAAAGACTCAAATCCAACGTATCACTTAATTTCATGAGATATAATTTACTCTGTAAGACTTTCCCAACTTACCTTAGAATAGTATTTTTTAGAAGCGGCTTGATCTTGCTGTACACCTAGGCCAAGCTGGAGGCATCTAGCCAAGTAGAAAGCAGCCATAGCAACCCCCTTGGCTACATATGTAGGAAGACAATCAGTTACCTTTGCTAGCATATCGATGTCATCATTTTCTGTAATCCTGTTGTGGAATTTGCAGCATTAAGTTAGATAATGCTATCTCAAGCCATAATTTAAGTCAACCATGTATGACCTGACAATGCCTCCTTTCCATTTACATCTTTATCCAAAATAAGCTGAAATCTACATGTATTCAGCAGCCTGATGAGGATTCTTCTATTCAGTTTTTGATTAAAAGTCTTACTTGAATATTGTGATATTAAATAGCAAACAAATGTCACTTTTGCAGTCACTTTCACTGTAATTATGCTAGTTATAAAAGGCAGTATATTTTATGCTAATTTTTCTATTAAAATATTTAATGGAAATTAATATATGTGTGTAAGAAAGGCAAAGCTCTTATTTCATATAATTGAACAACCCCGTCTAGTGGAAGGTGTCCCTGCCCACAGCAGGAGCATTGGAACTAGAGGATATTTAAAAGGCCAACCCGAACCATTCCATGATTCTATGATTTTGAAATTCCAAGTTCTTACTAGGATATTGACAAATAATAGTAATCTGAAGATCTTGGACATACTTGAGAGTCTCGGGTTGTAAGACCCACTTATGATGACCACTTACGGCCATTTCAGCTCAATTATTTTCTTTCTTTTGCATGCATCTGTCTGCTTGCTGTCACCTAATTTTGATCATGTTGTTTTTACTGGGAACTGTTTTAAGAGTTAGAGAGACAAATTGAACATTGGTTTAACTATCAGGCTATAATTACCTAGTGTTGCTACTATAATAGTAGGTACAACATTTTCTTAGTAGGAATTTATTTTTTTTACAACTGTTGTCTTAAAACAGAAACTCCCAAGCCCCATATCCTTTCCAGATACCAAAAAGTAATTATATGATTCTTCACACATAATTTCAGTTTTTTGTTGTGTCAAATAGTTGCAGAGTTGACATAAAAAAGAAAGAAAAGTGCAAGTCACTTCTGTTTATAGGTACTCTGTACAAATCGGTGTTTATGAAAGATTGTTCTGAAGTAACCCTCTGCAAGTCAGTGCCTGATAAATCACTTGAATGTATTGAGAACAATGTTCTCCCACCTAATTTGGTCCCATTAACAAATATAGTAACACAACAGAAAAAAAATTGCTTATTAGCAAGAACATTCAAATATGATTAGCAGTAACCTATTACGTCTTTTATCTTTCCTGATATATAGCATTTTTGCCTTCCCTTCCAAAAGATACACAACAGGATGGTGATGAAAATAACAATACCCAGTCAAGTCAGGCAAAAGCTCTAGTTCAGCACACTTGACTTCCATAGCAATAGTAAGTAGAACTGCATGGAATAACAAAACCCTTATTTGAAGTATCAGTAGCTAATCTAGGCTCCAAATTATTAGGCAAGGTTATTCTGTACATGGTCACATAATGTTTGTATGTTTGTACATATGGTGCCAAACTGCATAGT